TGGTAAATTAAAAATATGTTTATCTTAATGTAATAATATATTTAATAAGACATGACATTAAAAGACCAAATAAAAGAGCATTCTCACCTTTCCTTATGATTCATTTAAATAAAAACCTAAAGCAAATACACTTTAGTCAATCCTAGGCTTAGAAAGCCAAATGTCAAAATAAATTACATTTCTTTAAAACAAAATTTTCATGTGAAATTCCTTTCAAAGACATAATCATGACTTTCTCTATATAGATCTAATCAAAAAGAACTTCAATTGTATTGGTCCTGTTTTTCCTCCTGAAGATAGTGTTTTCCTACTGGAATTAACAAAAGACAGGGAAGTAAACAACAAAAAAATCATAAAAAATAATGCTAGAGTAGAAATCTGGTAAATAAAATTCAAGCCCTGCTATTACATGGTGCTGTGCTCTTGACTAAATCAGTTGGATTTCCTGGGCCTCAGTTTCATCATCAGTTAACTAGAAGGAGTAATATGATCCTAAGCTCCATGTGGATTTAATATGCCATGACTTCAAGATATCATCAGATTTCAAACCAGATATCAACTATAACTAGCAGTACCCACTAACATACTCTAATCCCTCAAAGACCACTATTGATTGCCTTCCCAACAGCCATTTTCTCCTTTCATCTTTGCTAAGAATCCCATATTTTGTGGGTGTTCTATTCCTTTTACCAAGGACTAGTTTAGCCACATGGGATACAATTCTGGTCAATGATATGCAACGGGAAATATGCTGTGTGGTCATTAGGAAAATTTTATCTTCTCGAAAAAGAGAAGCACAAGAAGAGGTGCCACTCAGCCAGCCCCAGATATAGTTGTATGAAAGTGTTATATGAGAATTTGAGCAGAATTTTGGGATTCATTAGTGTACATGCCTAAAATGATTCCAGCAGGCTGAGAATGTCTGAGGCAAAAATGAGTCGGTGATAACTTTCTTGAAGAACAGAACAACTATCCTTATAATCTTCTATTGCCTGACTTTATCTTACATAAAATATTGAATTTTCCTATTTTTAAACCACTTTTACTCATGAGTTCTGTTATTTAAAGATAAAAGTATCCTATGTGACTGTGAAGGTTAATTTTAAGTGTCACCTTGACTGGATTGAGGGATACTTAAATGGCTGGTGAAGCATTGTTTCTGAGTGTGTCTGTGAGGGTGCTTCCAGAGTACGTTGACCTATGAGTCAGTGGACTGAGAGAGTAAGACACGGCTCAGTGTAAGCAGGCACTATCCGATCTGGTGGGAGCCTGGCTGGGTCGAACAGGCCAAAGAAGGGGGACTCTCTCTCTGTGTTCTTTCTCTCTTTCTTTTGGAGTGAAAGAGTGGGACGCCTTTTCTTCTTCTGACCTTGGACATCAGACTTTAGGTTCTTCTGATTTTAGACTCTAGGACTTGCACCAGCAGCCTCCCAGGGACTCTGGAGCTTTTGGCCTTGAACTGGGGGCTGCACAATCAGTTTCCCTGGTTCTGAGGCTTCCAGACTAAGCCAGCTTCTCTGGTGTTCCAGCTTGCAGACAGCCTATTATGGGACTTCTCTGCCTCTCCGATCATTTGAGCCAATTCCTCTTAATAAAACCCCTCTCCTTATCCTATTGGTTCTGTCTCTCTGGAGAACCCTAAT